TGGTCATAACCCGAAAAGTTCGTTAACAGAGGCGTTCGTAACCCGAGGTACCACTGTACTTTAAAAATCAATTAATGGCACTGTTAAAAAGTTGTTAGTGACTAACAGTTCTGTATTTTATTTCTAAGATTGCTTGTGAATAATTATGTATTTAGCCAATATTCAAATATGTATATTTTTTACTTTTGTTATTGGCTGAATACATCTAAAATGTAAGAGAGCTTATTCTGGATATCCCTCTAAAAAAATAATGAATGGAGTAGTTAGCAGGTTTGTTTTTGTTTCCTGCAGAATCAGAGAAGGGGTCCTTAACCTTTTCATTATGAAAATTTTGCAGATGTGTTCTTTCCCCCATGTTTCTTTCCACATCTTTCAGCAAGCAGCAGCTCGAGTAAATAAAAATAGGAATGGGGAGAGATAAGAAGTGATTTCCCACATAACAGTAAATTTGACCCTAAGTCAAAGAGATCAACAGATGCAAAATCAGAGGCTAGAGGAGACCTCTCCATTGTTTTACAGTATTCAAACCCACAGTATTGGGACCAAACCCAGCTAAAATTTAAAAGGCATGACATGAGTCTAGGCTATTCAGTTCTGATATACAAATAGGGGGGGAAAACCTTTGAGATTTAGGATTTCTGGAGATTCAGAAGTACATTTAAGTATATCAAGACTAAACTTTTTTGATAGTGAAAGATGGAAAAAGCATAACCCAGAAGTAAATAATGTGGCTCAGTCACACCAGTGGTCTATTAGTGACCACTAGGATCTTTTACAGCATCTGTATTAAGAATGTTTTGTTGCTCTACGTTGTACCCATAAGCATTCTTAGAACCCCATGTTCTGTTTGGAAGACCACCCAGATGCTCAGAAAAAAACAAAAAACAAATATAAGCTTACGTAGTAGACAGCATCCTAGACAGATTGACTGACAGGGAGCAACAGCACTACTTTATTTCCTACTATAATGGCTTATTTTAGCCAAAGGATGACAATGTGCTTGTGAGCATCATGACATATATGAGAGTCTCCTGCCCATGGCATTTAAAGAACTCAAACAAAATT